TATTTGTTCTATAATTGTCACTTCCAAATACATATTATGAGTAAGTACCAAAGTTATATTGGGTCTTGAAATATTTGTCTATTGTGGTATATGAGGACAGAAGCAGTCAATTAAGGGTACACAAAGCTTATGAGTATAGTAGTCAATCTGAGCTTTACATGAACCTTGAGTCTTAATTTATGCAGGTTACAGAATTGGTGCGTGTTGGGAGACAACTGTATCGAATGCTTACTGGATCCAGGGCTAGATGTATTTTTAGCACTTGTTTTCCCTGGAATAACTGTGCAGGAGGACACACTCTTCACACCTTCCAAAGATAGACCTGATCTGAAGTGGCCTGTTGAGCAGTCTTCCCAGGAGCAAGGTTGAAAGACACTAAGTCAGTGAAAATTCTCTCTACTTTAAATAAATAAAGACTTCTGAGGATATTTAACTCAGAAAATGATGATTGTGCCAGTGAAAACAAATCAAGATGATACTATATTAGCAGACTAAACCCAGATATTAACTGTTCATACTGAAAACATCTAATACCTAGTGTACTTAATATTAGTCTCTTGTAGGCAGTATACAGATGTGTTGACTTTTTTGTTTGTCTTGTGTATATGGAAAAATCTAGTTCATTTATATTTAACAAAAATATTCACTAAAATGTTTGCCTAAATATTTTTACTAATACCAATATCTCAAAAGATATGTGTTCCATAAAGCAATGCCTGAGGAAGATTACTAATGAATACAAAAGGTTTATTTAGCTCACAACTTGAAAAGCTCTGGGAATAAGGCTGATATTGGCTTGCTACTGATGAAGGACTCTATCAGTACAAGGCAATAGCAATGGCAGGTGTGTCAATGGAAGCATATTGAATAGAAAGCCAGAGAAAGAGCTTATAGGATCAGGATCAGGATCTTTAACAGGTGTGTGTTTAACAAGAACTCACTCTAGACAGGGGGCTTTCTGCTGAGAGTATGGATCCCATAATCCAAGGTCTACCCAGTAGGCCCCACTCTCAGAAGATTCCTATCATCTCCCACTGCCACACTAGCAAACCCAATTCTAACACACACACACACACACACACACACACACACACACACACACAGACCGCTTAAGAGACAAAGTATTCCAACAGTACCTCACTCCTGTGCACACCACTGCAGATCTCCTAATAACTAAGATTTCAAAACCACCTCCATGCTCTTGGACAAAGGATGGGTTAAAATAATGTGGCATACTTATGCTATGGGATATTGTTCAGCCTTCGATGTATTTGCACTATTGGTTACTACATAGATAAAACTAGAAGACATTAGTCTATACGAACTAAGCAAACACAGAAAGAAAAAAATATTAGTCCAATGAATAGGGTTCATTTTCACTAAAAAATAAGTTCTATTGCTCCTAATATATAACACAGTGGCTTAAATTAATAATAATGATAATATATTGTTACAGTACAATAGTATATTTGCTAAACAAATAGCAATTTTTTCCCCACAAAAGTATGTGTGGTGATGGACATATTTATTGGCTGGATGGTGGGCCATATATAACACCACCAATGGACCTTAAATATAGGCAGTTTGTCAAGCAAAACACAAAATATGGACAAGGAAAAATATAAAAAATGTTAAAATTTAACATATTCTTGCTACACATAAAGCAAATTTTCTCTAATATATTTGTTACTGTGTTACTTCTCCTGCCTCACTGCAACTTCCTAGAAAATACTCATTCACTTAACACATATTGCTTAAATGAAACATAAGTTTATGTAACAATGAGTGGTACCTCCTGATAAAAGATGTTTTGAGGCAAATTAGTAAGTAAAGACAAAAACAGTACATATTATAATACTAAACCACAGAGAATTTTGATATGTTAAAATGGCTACTGGAAAAACATAGGTTCTTGTAACAAAGACTTGGTCTACTGAAAATGAAATTTTACAAAGTGTGACCTGACAAACACTATATTTTATGGACTATACTGAGAGTATTCAATTTTAGAGATAAGCTAACACACTGTAGTTTATGGGCTATATTGAGAGTATTTAACTTTAGAGATAAGCTAAAAACAATCTTTAGACTGTTGGGGTATTACTTATTTACAGTAAACTCAGGCAAGATGAAATTCTTTTTTGTCAGAATCTGGGCTTTCTAAAGACTTCCTATACTCAATATACTTTTCATTATCATTTTATTACAGCCTCTATGACCATGTTATCTTTCCTATCAAAATGAACTGATGTCAAAAACAGCAAGAGTTAGATTCTAATTTTTCTTTTTCTTTTTTTTCTTTTCAAAGTTTTATTGATAAACATATAGCAATGAGACAGTTTCAAATCAAATTGAAAGTACAGTTTCAACAAATAATACACTGTATATATTCTTCTTAGTGGTTAATTGCTATACAAGATGCAGACTTGTGATCCTACTTACAAACACCATTAAAAAAAATCATTCTGTTCATTAAGAGAATGTAACTATATATCTATCCCAACCACTTTGAATACACAGATACAAAATGGACATTCATAGTTATACCCCAATTTTTTAAGTTCCATTGTTGAATATTATAGGTGTGTAAACTCAGCAAAATATTCTAAAAGAGTCCAGTAGCCCATAATAGCATTGGGTCTTCTGTTTAACTGGCAATGTCAGAAATTATTGACCTGAGTCCCCCACAGCTAGATTCTAATTTTTAAACAATCACTTATACTAATTTATATTTTGAGTAAAATTATTAGCTTTATTACATGAATTTCTCACATAGAAAATTAAAATAGGGAAATGCATAGCACAAACCATAGATTGTTAATGTACAACAAGTAAAGTCTCAAAAGTCCATATTCAGCAATAAAGTTAAGTACTTTTTTGGATAAAAAGTTTTGTATATTTTTAAATTTATTTATTTATTTATTTATTTATTTATTTAGTACAGGGTCTCTCTATGATGCATCTCAGACTATTAGTGATCCTCCTGTCTCAGTTGCCCAGTGCCGGGATTATAGGTGTGCACCACCACACCTGGTTTCACTGGCCAGTACAGTGCACCTGGGGACCTGTGCTCTGCATCACATGCAGTACTGGGGATTGAATCGGGGTTCTAGTGCTTGCAGAGCAGATACCTTAGGCCACCAAGCTATCTTTGAGCCCTGTATATTTTAATATATCAAAATTATATATGTGCAGAGGAGGATTCTTCCATTATATTAAAAATGATTCTAAGGAAACACTGTCATGAATATACACACTTGAAATAACACTAAAAAGTGTATAGCACTTTAGTAACTTAAGATACATAGAAATGTAAAAAATTGTTTTACAGAACAACATTATTGAATTTCTCCTTAAATACTTGAAAAACCTACTTTGGCAATAACTTGCTATTTAATAGAACTAAACAGAAACAATGATTGTATTTTGAATATTAAGATTAATAAATAATTAGATTGTTAAAGTGCAAGTCTAGGAAATTGCACAATTTTTACAAGTTACAGAAATGCAGTAAAATTTTTTGAAACCATTATACTTAAACTGTTTTCTCTTTCTCCCTGATTACATCAGTTGATGTGAATAAGATGTTAATCAAATGAATGTGGTTTGACCTATAATCTCAACTGCTGCTCTTTTAAATTCTTATCAAAGTTCTCACAGTGTTCTAACAAATATATCTTATTATCCACAGGAAAGATGTATTTAGTTCAACTAAAAACTGTCTATGCAACACTACCTTCCAAAAAAGAAAATAAATGAAAATGAAGGCAAAGAAAAGGAAAGGAAAAGTAAGGAAAGGGGAAAAAAGGAAAAAAGAAGGGGGGGGGAGAGAAAAACCAAGCAATGTGTCACAGTTCATGTCTATAATCTGTAATGGCAGCACTCCTGAGGTAGGAGGTTCACGAAATCAATCTCAGCCTGGGAAATTTAGTAATTTAGTGAGACAAAATCTCAACATACAAAATAATTAAATAAAAGAGGTTGAGATAGTATCTCAATAAGAAGCCCCCGTATTCTCTCTCTGGTTCTGGTACAAAAAATACGAGAATGCATGTATACTGGATTAGTGCTGATATCTTTAAATTCTAACTATAGAGACATCATATGTGTAGATACCTAGTGCAGACAGAGTAACATAGTATCACTGCAACTAACTTCACAAATCAAATTCAATGATAGCTCTAGATTGGAGAAATATTTAAAGTACTTGCTGTACAAATGAAAATTTATATGAGTCAAGGTAACAATAAGATATATTTTCTTCTTAAAATTACTTTATATTGAAATATAATTGCTGTAGCTGTTGGTTGTCTTCGTTAATTTTGCTCTATATTTTCAATATCTTGGTTAAAAGGCACTAAAGTCTAAGATAAAATTTTGAAAATATAATAAACATGCAGTGTAATATAAAAACTGAGTAACTAAACACAACTCCAGCAATCTTAGAATAGTTTTTCAATACCATTACATCATGTGAAATGCATGCCCTGCAGAAAATGTTAAAGAAGCTACATTTGCATCGTCTTTCAAGCACTCATTATGCTTACTTTTACAATATCCCTGAAGGCTAAATGCTATCAATTCCATTTTCCACTTTGAGGAATTTAAGTGCCTTGCTCAATTCAAATCATACTATAAAGCCTTTATTGTAAACAACCCTTGCTTTAGTAGATATTAAATGATAATAGATATATGAAAGGCAATATGCATGCAGAGTCACTAAAACATAACTTAAAAGGAGTAGGCTTATTTCTACCTTGTATTTATTATATTTACTTACATACATATGATATCTAATCAAGCTTAGTCTGCCTTTCAGGCATAAACTTCACTTGGCTTCTAAATTACAGTAATAGTGACCTTGCCCACTATAAAATTAGGTGTTAAAACACACAAGATTATTTGAATTAATATTCAAAATTTTAACACTATGAGTACTTGCCAGAGCACAGAAACCAGAGTTTGATTATAGTCATGTTTTATCAAAATTTCAAACCCCTGTGATCACTTTGGCACACATGTTCTAAAATTAGAACTATACAGAGAAGATTAGCATGACCCCTGTGCACACATGACATGCAAATTCATGAAGCATTCCATATTTTCAATATGTACACACGAAACACAGGAGCACACAACTATATGAGACAAATCTTAATTGACATGAAAAATCTAATATCCAATACCACAATCTTAATAGGAGACTTTAACACCCTCTTATCTCAAAAAGATAAGTCAAGAAGACAAAACATTAGCAAAGAAATAGCAGTACTGAAGCAGAACTTGAAACAAGTGCACTTAGTGGACATGTAGAGTGTTCCACCCAACACCTAAATATACAATTTTTTCAGCTACACGTGTGTCAATTTATAAAATAGACCACATAATAGTCCATAGGTCATGATTAAGTATATGTAAGAAAGCAAATATTATCCCATGCATATTATCTGACCACAGTTCAATGAAACTGGAAATGAATGACAAAAGAAACCACAAAAATATAAATACATGGAAATTAAACAACACTCTCCTCAGCAACAAAAGGGTTGCAAATGAAATTAAACAAGAAATTAAACAATATTTACAATTCAATGTAAATTCAAGCAGAATTTATTAGAATTTATGGGATGCAATGAAAGCAGTTCTTAGAGGAAAATTTTAGCTGTGAACTAACAAATTAGGGAAACAGGACAGGAAGAAATAAAAACCTTACTGCTGTTCCTCAAATCTCTAGAAAAATAAGATCAAACCAAACACAAAGACCAAAGATGAGAGAAAATTATTAAGATTAGAACAGAAATTAAAGCAATAGGGCCAAAGAAAACAATACAAAGAATTAACAAATTAAAAAGCTGATTCTTTCAAAGATTAAATAAAATTGATAAGCCCCTAGTTAACCTCATCAAAAAGTGGAAAGAAGAAATTCAAATTTAGGCATTAAGGAATGAAAAGGATGAAATTACTATAGATAGTATGGAAATACAGATCATCACTAGCTTTTTTGAGAATCTGTACTCTTACAGAATCAAAGACACATAACAAATGGGAAGATTCTTAGAAAGGAAGAAATTACCAAAACTGAGTCAAGAAGATGTAAGAACTCAAAATAACATGATAGCAGGCAAATGAAATTCAAAATGTAATTTAAAAACTACCAACAAAAAAAATCCCAGGTCCTCATGGATTCACAGCTAAATTCTACAAAAGAATTTACAGAAGATATAATCCCAATAATCCTCAAACACTTCAATGAAATAGAAAAGGAAACATTTCTCACAAAATCATTCCTGGAGTCAAGCATTATACTGATACCAAAACCAGAAAAAGATGGAAATAAAAAAGACAACCACAAGCCAATCAACCTCATGAACATAGGTGCAAAAATCCACAATAAAATCCTAGCAAATAAAATACAGCAAATCATCAACAAGATCATATACCATGACCAGGTAGGATTCATCCCAGGGATGCAAGAATGGTTCAATATTTGAAAATCTATAAATGTAATACATATATCAATAGAGTGAAAACTAAAAACCACATGATCATCTCCATTGATGCAGAAAAGGCTTTGACAAAGTCCAACACTCATTTATGTTCAAAGTCCTACAGAAAATTGGAATAGAAGGCCTCTAATTCAATTTGGTAAAAGCCATCTATGACAATTTGGGTATTAATATGTGAAAGTTTCTTCTTATGTTTGACATAAACAAGGTAATAAATTGGACACCGAAAAATAAATGAATTAAATCTTTATTAACCTCCAAGTTCAGGTTAACAAGACTGCAAGGAATTTTAATGCTGCCATATGGTCTCAAGAAAGACATCAAGAAAATTTTTGCTGTCCTTCATCTTTAGTACCTGTCCACTCCTCACTCTAACCTTGAAATGAATGCAGATTTATTTATTTATTTACTTATTTATTTATTTATTTATTTATTTTATTGAGAAACAAATAGCAATGACACAGTTTCCAAACTGATTAATAGGACAGTTTCAATAATTAATACGTTGTAAATTGTTATCTTCTTAGTGTTTATCCATAGTACAAGAAGCAGACAGGATATCCTGTCCTAATACTATTAGTACAAATTTTTCTTCTCATTGAAATAAGTGAAAGTAGCTTTATATTTATCCTAACTGTTCTGTATATACAAATACAAAATGGTCTTTCCTTTGTGTCCTCTTTTTTTTGTTTAGTCTTGTCAGAGATGGGTATTCCATTAGCATCTAACTACTATAGATGCGTGAATTCAGCAAAACAATTCAACACAGTACAGCAGTCCACAATACTAGTGGGTTATCTGCAGAAATTGTTGACTTGAGTCTTTCATAGCCCAGCATATTAAAATGGCTTTATTTTATATACCTCATTTTTATAATTTTCTGCTAGATGGTTGAGACCAAGATAAAGCAAGACCTATATAAAAAGAAATGTAAATTTTGTATGTGATAAGGTCATTCAAGTACCCTCAGGATTTATCCTGTAACCTTGTACTACAGTTTGCAGATCCTTTGTCAGTGTCAGCTATGTGGATGAATCATGGCCATTGCTTGACCAATATGCTCTCTGTGAAAGCCTGGGAAATGTTTTCTTTCCATGTGACTCTTCTTAGGTACACTATACATCATTAATCATAATCGTCTGTGGCTTCATAATCTCCTTGATCAGAAAATTTTGGGCACAACTAAGTTATAGGATGTCACAGTATATGTTCTCCTATGTCCTGAGTCTTCTCTGACCTTGAAAAGTTGGGTCCAGAATGTTGTCTGACCATGTAGCCCTTAATTTCTCTAATTTTTGATCTGCAAACTTAGATTGTTAACCCTCCAGAAGAGAAGCTTTCTAATACCCTGCTACATATGCAGTTCGGTTTACCCAAACTATCTGTTTAAATATCAAACTTCTAAGGCATAACATGAAACAGGTACATTCTTTTTTTTT